TGGCTCCTTCCTGGTGAAAATGAGAACATTTGACAAGCCAAGGTCAGCGGGGGGTTTGACTGTATAAGGCTTCAATGGCAGGGCCCGGCCAACGCTGCAAAGTCATAAAGCACTTTGTCATCACTCGCTATATAAACTCTCAACAATCAAGTGGGATCACATTCCCTCCCCTCCAGTCTGTGTGGCTTGTGTCACTTGATTTTCTCCTGGCAGTGTTTCAAATCCAAATGGAGTTTGTGGATTCTGTAGGGCAGTCTTTGGGCGACTGCTGGAAGGTCTGTGGTGAACCAGGAACAAAGCTTTACACTTCACCTTATCAGAGGGTAAACTGGTGAAGAGCAGAGCAGAGAAGAAGACATAGGCGGGCTGGTGAATGGGGGACAGAGGGAGTCAGAATGGGCAGGTTTTCTGGCTGACCGTATTTATGAACAGTTCAATAATGAATCACCAGAAGAACCGCGGTCATGAGAACATGAAAGAGGACAAAATAAATAAATAAATGTCCTTGTCTTCCCTTGGTGCAGAGCAGATATGCTATTGTAAGTAGATTAGATTATCCAGTGGAGGGCCTGTCAGGCTGCTGAGGGTCTGCAGCTTTAGGCAACACAGGGGCAACAGGTGCAATACTTGCCAGCATTTGTGCAAATTGGAATAATCACCAGGCCTGTCTGTGGAACACCTGAAGGATGCTGGACGCCAGGTGGTCAGGGAGGAGGAAATGGGCAAGAGAAGGAAATAAAGGGAGTTAAAGAGCCATCTGTATGATCGCCACAAAAACAATAGGCCACCATTCTGTCTTTGAATAAAAGTTCCCTATTTCCCCTGCAGGGGGTGCTCTGAAGCAGTAGTAGTGTGTAGTGTCGTGTTCAACCTCCAGAATTAAATTGCAATAATATTTTAATAATATTTTTTCTCAGTGAAAACATACTCTGTTATTGATATACAGCGGCAAGCTAAGTACCTGCAACACTGTACGCCACAGTTCCATGGTGCTGTACACCTCCATAACAACCTTGAATTGTGCAGCTCCGACTATGTATAGTCTCACTGGAAATACTGCTGAAGGAGGTTTAAAATTTGACTGGTGGTTTAGTACAGTATTGATTGGATGAGGAATGCTGGGAAAAATAATTTAAATAAAATGTAAAGAATAAACCAAAACA